CTTGGTTGGTAAGCATTTTGGCCTTCTAGTTGTTTCTTGAGTTTTCTATCGATTAATACATATTCTCTTAACTTCTTATAGCCACATGTTTGCCAACATTGTGCAACAAGAGATAGCCACATGTTGCCAACATTGTGCAACAAGAGTTTTTTTTTTTTCTTAATTAGGCACTCTAAAACTAAAAAACTAATTGATGAATTGCAACATTAAGGAAATTATATGAATGGATTTTTAGTAATTTCAATTCAAAGTGAAAAAAAGAAGCTAAACTCACTGTTTCACTAATGGAAAAAAGTTAGGCAAACATATCTTGAGAAATAAGCTCTCCATAATTACATTTATTCTCTATAGCTCTTTAACTACATGCTCTTTTATAAGTTCTAAAGTCTCAAGAAAAAATACCACTCTTTCTTCATAAGAAGAATACTTTATGGCATTTTATGTCTTCATCCTCTATTACCAATTAAGCTTTCATTTATAAAAAAGAACAAATTGGTAATAAAATTGTATAATATATGATTATATTCAATTGTAATATAATACATAATTCTATGTCATCCATTTCTGCAGAGCACTGTGACATGAAATGGGGAAGTAATGAAGTGTGATGGTCTTATGCATTGCCATATTTAAGGAACAACATTGTTAGGCTATTACCATTACTACATGTTCAAATACTTTTATGAATTTTAAATTTGGCTTTTCTATCAATTACATTTAAGAAGCTTTCTCGAGTTCTCAGACTATTGACCTTTTGAGCTATATGGTTCATGGTCCTTAACATATTAGCTCTCATCCTATAGTACTCCAAAATTTTTAGAGACCCTTTCTAAGCTATTTTAGGTTTGAGTATTCTTTTAATAAAAATGCTTCTAGCTTTAGAACCTCTTGGCATTATTATAATGCTTCTCAATAGTAGTTTCTTACTTTTAGACATCTTGGTTACTCCCCTTTATTGCTTAATAGTTGTTCTTTTGATCTCTTCTCCTCAAGTTTCTTCAAATATGAAATATAAGATGTTGTTCTACCAATATGTATTCATTCAAATTTGTCTTCACCATATTTGTTTTAGTTTGAATCATCACATGAAGTGCCATCCATTATTTTGCAACCTTCTTCAACATGGTCAAAAATTGTTTTTGTTGTTAGAACACATACAATAAGAATCACATCATACTTGGTTACGATTATTATAAAAGATATTGTACTTCAGATTTCGGTGTATTAAATAGAATTTATACATAATATTGCAGTGCAAAGTAAGTTACCCTATATTTAAAAATTACAAAAATAAATATGTTGCAAAAGAAAAAAAATTGTAATTCAACATTTTATGTATAAACACAAACTAAAAAATTATTTGATTTGCATGCTAACTCATAAAAATATGTTATTTTGCCATTATTATTGATAGGCCTTGTACTACTCCCATCCAGTGTTGGTCATCAATTGTGTGCATAGTCTAAGTGGCAATGTGTTCTATATTATGATCGTCAAATACATTATCCTAGCTTCTATATAAAAAAACCAACATGCGCCAAACTCATCTCACCTAATACTGATTGAGATATTTCATCTTTCATGGAATGACTTGCAACATAAACACATTTTACATGATAACCAAGGTAATTACATACTAGGTAAATCATAAATTTTAATTTACCTTATTATAGTGCTCAATTTTTTTTTTTTTTAAGTTTTGTAATGTAGTTATTAGGTATGAATTTGTATATGACCATTTATTTATTCCCTCAATATAGAATGTTATAATATCCTTTATCATTCAACCTTATCCATCATTGAAAAATAATAATTGTTCTACTATCCTACTCATTCTAACCATTTTTTGTTTGAAACATTAATGATCAAATCTATAACTTGAATTGTAAATGTTTCAACTAATCTATTATGTGAACATATATAAGGATTAACATCATCAGGTCTAAATCTACAATAAATTCATTAAGTGCTAAGTACTTCATCTAATTGTCATGTAAGAGTAATTAAGAAGACACATTAATAGGGCCATTTACATACATTCAATCAATTCTTATCTATTTACATGTCTAAATCCTAAACTCTTATGGTAGCATTGATAACATTCAAATATTTAACATTTCATAAGAAAATATCACTATTACTAAGTTTTTAAAAGTGAAATGCCGTTTCCATGTTTAAGTTCTTTATTCCGAGGTGTTATAAGATGTTAGATATGCATATAGATTAGAATTGTGCGGTATGCATGTAAATTTTGCTAGCTAATTAATAATATTTTTATGTAGGATCAATGACATGACAAATCAAATGTTCAAATTTGACCATTTTGACATATGGAAATTACATTAAAATTTATACTTAATTAAAAAAAAATCGTAATGACATATCATTAATATCTCATGATATAACATTAAATAATCTTAATATCAAATTAAATAATCCTTTAATCCTATATTCACATCCACAATGTTCCTTAGGAAAATTTAATGAGAGAGCAAAAATAGTGAAGAAATAATGAATTAAAAGTTATAGTGCCATTGATAATTAGTAGGCAGAATAGTTGAAGGTTCACTATCAAAGAATAAAAAAAAAGGCAAGACACAAATTTGAACACTTCTATTTTAAACAATCACCTTTTTTTCCATTCTCATTCATAAAGATTTCATGTAGGAACACTAACTAGCAAGAGAGAGCCTTTTCACCCTTAATTTATTTATATTAATTATTTTAATATAAGTAGATATTCTTTAAAATATCAAATATTTTAATTTATGTAAAAATGGTAAAATAAATTTCATGAGTCTCGTTTGTTCGTATTTATTAAGTAGGAAATTTATTGCATATGTAGTTTTTCGGGCATTTTATATGCAAAAAAATGAAGCATTCAAATACATACATATATATATATATATATATATTACAAAAAAAATTCAAATATAAGACAACTAATGATAAAATTATTAATTTTTGAATAGAATTTTAAACAACAAACAAGCATCAAAAAAAGAAGGAAAATTTACATGCATAAATCACAATTCTGTTGCATTTAAATATCTATTACTCAAATTTTAGATTTTACACTTATTTCATAAATTATGAGATGTTTTTTTTACTAATTTGATAAGCAATTAAGTGAAAATTATTAGATTATGTGCCATTATATATTTATAAACTAAAATAAAAACTATTTATAAATATAAAATCTATTTGAAAATTATTATGTATATAATATAAGAAGTTGGCTTTATATGCCTCGTAATAATACAAATTGGAGAAATACACTCAATGTTTATTATATAAAGAAATATATATGTAAGTTTATTTAAGAACAACTTATTTCTATTGAGAGATAACATCTTATATTCATGAACTATTTTTTGAAGTATTCAGAATAAGTTGAATATGTTCAAATATAAAATTGGATTAACTTTTATTTCGGGGTCTACATTATTTAGTTAAAATCGAAAAATTGAAAATAACAAAAAAAAATTATGATTAAGTGAGTTTAAGATTTGTTTATCAATTTTTTATTTTAATAATTTCAATATTTAGTTTTTCGGTAATTGGTTTGTTTTTAATTTTTGTTTAACCGAACTAATAAAAAATTTGAAATTAAATGGAGGATTCATGACACTACGGGAATTCAGGTCATTTTCGACGTTAACAAATCGTTGGTTAATTAAATTAAAAAATTATGGTTATCCGATGATGAAACGAGTGTTGCTGTTTCACTTTGTCATAAATCATTTGTTCCACAACATTGTGATGGCTTATCGATGAGTTCTATCCGCCGGTTCATGTCAAAAGAAAAGCTGTCAATTGAAGTATCGATAATTTACCCGTCAATTGTCTGCTAATGGATAGCCCATCGTTAGGCCATCGAAAGGTCGTCAGAAAACTATGCATTAAAAAAATTAAAAAAAACCTATTTCTTTCATTACAATTTATACTTTTGCAATCACATCACATTAACAAATCAAATGTCCATTGCAAAATCTAATTTATCAATCTAAATATGTATTAAAGTAAAACCAAATGAATTAACTCACAAAATTGAAAACAGAAATAACCGCAAAGCATAGAACCATAAAATGAAATAATTTATCAATAAATAAGAAAAATATGTAATATATCTCATAAAAAAAAATAAAAAAAACAACCTGTTCACCATCTTTCTCCTCATCATTGTCCTTCTAGATCTCCTCGTCTACCAGTTGACTCAAAAAAATATCGCAATGCATCTAATTCTAGTTGCATTTTAACATCTGATTCAGGAAAAAATATTCTATACGAACATCGCATGCAGCAATATATGCAGTGTCCGATCTTTACCGTCGATTACAAAATTAAAAAAAAAAATGAAAACAGGGCCCACCGAAATACATCTTTCCTGTGATCAATGGCGGAACAGCAAATCAGTCTCATATCAGCACATAATGCAAAATCATATTAATATTAAGCTACTTAAATTAGTAAATAAATCAGAAAAAAAATATTTAGTTAATTATCAAATAAATAACCATCGAACAAGATAATAAGTAGCTCCTCTTAATCCAATCTTTTAGAGCTTTTTCCTCCCTTACAAAGTAAGAGAATGCATATGATTCTGCGTTTAAATCTATCAATCATTCCAAAAACATTTGAGCAAGACAATAAAATTAGGAAGATGAGCATACATGCCCCTTAATTTCCATTAATTTCCATATATATATAACACCTACATTTTTGAATTTTACATGCATACCTTCTTATCAGTGCATTAAAAATTAAAATGTGTATTTCACTTTTTAATAATTAAAATGATGATATTTTTAATTCGTTATGAAAGATTTGGGTTATAAAAATACAAAAAAAAAGTTTTTAAGTATTAATACATAAATTTAATATCATTACAGGGCGAGATAGAGATAGAGAGAGAGAGGGAGAGAGAGAGGGGTGGGGCCATTTCAAAGGCCTTCTTAAAGACCGCACTGTTCGATCCTTCGGTAGCTGTTGCTCTGTGCCTCTGTTCTTCTCCTAAATACGAACTGAAGCCTCCGCAGCACTATAAAAACACCCAAAACTCCATGGAACGGAGCAGACTGAAACAAAGTTGAGAAAAACTTACACACAACACAATCCCCTCCCTCCTCATGGTTTCCCTTCAACTATCTCTCTCCATGAAGGAAAACAACACTTTTCGCTCCAATCAGAAGAGAAACAGAGAAGAAGAAGAAGAAGAAGTATCAGCAGAAGATAAAGCAGGATTCAAGCTGATAAAAAGGCCCAAACTTTGGAAAACCCAATCACCAAAGCTTGAATCTTTCATCGAGCTCAATCTCGACACTCCCTTACCCCTAGAATGGCAGCGATGTCTGGACATCAAGGTATCACCTTTTTTATATCTTCATCTTTAATCTTAATCTCTGTTTCAGAAATTTATCATCTTTGTGAAAAAAAAAATTTACTTTTGAAGTCGGGAGAGATATATTTTTACAACACCATGACTAAAGCGAGGACTTTTAAAGACCCACGATCGAGCCGGGAAACTCATAGGTGTCGTCGTCCAAACTTGGACCTGGAGCTGAATCTCATGAGAGAAGCACCTGAAATCCTTGGCGTTGAAACTGAGCAGAGTGCGGATGAGAAAGAAATGATGGCGATAGTGTGTGCGAGATGTTACATGTTGGTGATGATGAGCAAGGCGACGCCTTTGTGTCCGAACTGTAAGTTTGCGCCGCCGCAGGGGTTGGGAAGTAATCCAAAGGTGAGGTTTTTAAGTCGCGTGGATTAGCAGAATTGTCTGGTTCTGATGGAGAAGTTGAAGTACACAGATGAGTACTTAGTCTGTATGCAGTAGTAAGAAAATTATGTAGTTTTGTGAATAGTTGAGATTAATGTAAGCAGTATTATGCAAAGTTTAGAAATATAAAATATATTTTTGTATTACTTTGATTTTTATTTATGTTTTTGGCGGTTTGGGGGTTGAGAGGGGAGATTGGTTGAGTATTTCTGATTTGATTTATATTAGGTTTAAAGTACCTTTTACAGAGCTGTAAGATTTTTTTTAGTTCAAAGGATAATTCTTATAATTATTTAAATTATTTTGCTTATTATTTTATAAATAAAAAGGAGATGCGGAAATTAGGTGAATGCGGAAATTAGGTGAATATATATATATATATACTTTTAATAATACTGTGTTTCTATTTTCTGACTTTAATTTAATTTCAAATATTCTCAAAGAAATATTTTATTTTATTTTGCTCAAATTTATGTCTACAATGTTGACCCATTTATTATTTTTATTAAGTGGAGATGAACAATAAAGTTCAAATTTGACACAAATTTAAGTTTAATTTGATCTAAAAATCCGAATTTGACATGAAAAATGTATCTTTTTGGCCCATATGAATCGAATTATGTTAAACGGATTATTTGGATTGGATTTTGTTGTTTATTCATGACTCTTATTTATGACATAAATGACACACTTGTAATTTTTCATGCCTCTTGGAAGGCATCATCTATCTATAAATAGATGAGGGGTCTTGAGGGATGGGATGATCACAAGGAGAAAAGAAAATTCTGCTCAAGAATTGGAGAGAAGGAAAATTTAGCAAGGAGAGGAAGATCTTGGAGAGGCTTTAGAATTGAGGGAGAGGTCTTGTAGAGAGAGAGATCTAGAGAGACTTTGTGATTTCTCGATGTAATGAGACTGTAATTCTTCCTTTGTGCTAGTGAATTTTGGTATAGATTCCCTCTGTAGATGTAGGTCAAATGACCGAACCACGTAAATCTTATTGTGTTTGCGTTCTTGTTCCTTGTCGCATTTCATTTCTTGCACTTTTCTTTCTATTTTTCCCTATTTCTTGCTTGTTGCTGTCTCCATCTCCTTCGACATCCAAGAACCGCAGTAGGGAGGAAGAGACGTCTAGAAGTTCTGCAAGGGAACTCGACACTTATCTTTCCTTCCTAGTTGCAGGTGCTTATTCGGCAAGAACAGTCCAGGAGAGGCTCTTGTTGGCCTGCAGCAAGAAGTTCAGCAATCCTATTCTTGTTGGCCGCAGCAAGGTGTTCCACGACAGTCAAAGTTTCTGGGCTACACTCCTTCGGTTCGTGGGAGTGCAGCAGATTTTATTTGGCAATTCTGATATTCAGTTTTTTATCATCTAACTCAATCCACTAGAATTCTTTGGAAGGTTTTCTTTCAGGTGTTCTTGGAATTTCTTAAAGGATTCTTGACAGGGCAAGATTTTTTCCAACATATTTAGATCAATCAAGTTTTGAGTCATATTTCATAACCCATTTTATAAATGCAACATTTCAAATCATGCAGATTCATATAGCACATATGAAACTAACTCCAAAATGATCTAATAACTCCAATTAATATCTCTTTCTATGCGGCGAAAATCTAAAGAGATTTGACTTATAAAGAAAGCAATTATGACTTACCATAAAGATAAAATGCAGTTCTCGGATGAATATATTTTTTGGGCTAGGGGAACAAATTTAATCTTTTAGTGTCACCTCAAGAATGCATATAGACAACCCAAATTTTATAATTTTTTGGACACTGTTGGTAAAAAAATTATGAGACATAAGATGCAGCATTAGAATTTTTTTTTATAAAAAAAAAAAAAAAAAAAAAAAAAAGTAGAGAAATTTACAAACATACCTAATATTCTTATAAAGTTACTTATATAATATGTAAATCGTGATTTTATGGATTTTTTCTTTAATATTTTTTTTTATAAAACCGTTTTTCCTATTAAAATACCTTATTTTGATTTGAAAAACCCCTCTCTAGGCTTTGATCTTTCTCTCGCTCGAAGTTTTAAGTCTCTTTTCAAGAGGAGAGTAGATTAATATTTGTAGAGTCCATGTTACAAATAAGAAAAGAATTTGGATCACCATGTTCGTAAGGATCGAGAAGGTTCCAACTATTAGACGGTGTTTTGTGGGCATTTAAGTGTTTTATTGATGACATAATTAAGTGATCTTGAGATTGTTAGATTCTTCTTGTTGAGACGCTCGATTTGACAATGAACATGTCGAATTTAGAATATGTTTGATGTTCTAATTGTGAATTGAAAGCTTCCAAAAATGATTTAAAGATTTGATTTGACACAAATTTGACTAATTTTGGTACCGTTGAGTCCATCTCATTGAGTCGGTTAGTTTGACTGTATGTTTATTGAAGTCAAAATCCTCGATAAATTTTAATTAAAACTCGAGCACTTCTTACTCAAAAAATACTCTAGATTCATGTTAATTGCCCTAAAATTTGCACCAAGCATTTAGAAATCCGCGCCCCGTATTAAATTTGTTGATGAAGTGTCAATGCCTAAATAAAATTTATATAAATTATTCTATAAGATGTAACTTCTATTTTGACTATATACATAGTATCAATAACTAATGTATAGATTAATATATAGTATAAATCAAGTATTAAAATATATGTATATAATATGAGAAATTAATTTCAAAATAACTTTTCTTTTTAGTTATATCAACATTTTTTTGCAATAACTTTATTATTATTATTATTATTATTATTATTTTACACATTTGAACTGGCTGAGCCTATCACAACATGGACCAAATTTGATTTGATTATACAAGCTGTTCAAGTTCATGTTGAGTTTGTTTGACCCGGGCTTTAGATATAAAACTCTATTTGGCTTGTTTAGCATCGTCTATGATTAAATTTAGCTTTTACATGGTTCATCTAAATTAGTCAGATTAGTAATTAATGAGCTAATAAGTAAAATCATAAAGGAATAAATATTGTAATTATTATATTAATAAATAATTTTATGGATCTAAATGAGCAAGCAATTAAATGAAATTAAAAATTAACATCTAACTATTTGTCATAAATGAAGGTGATTGTTTGGTTGGCTGCACCGCTTTTAAGATTTCATGCATTTGCTATGAAAAATTTTAAATTCAATGTAAAATATGAGAGAATTTAGAAATGATTCCTTCATTTTCAGTGTATTTAGATTTTGATGGATTTGATTAAATTTAAAATAAACACCGTTGTTAGTAGCAACAGTTTGCTGGCCACTCGCTACCATCACCTTCGACCACTAACCGACACTTCTAGCCACCGAGCACCCATCACATACCACTGGCCTAAAGACACCCTCGACCATCCACCACCGCCACCCACGGCCGTAGTTACCTCCGGTCACTGCCGCCGCCAGATGCAAACTGCCCTCGATTATCGCCAACCATCTGCCACCTGCCTCCCTCTGCTTGTCATCACGTCCAACCACCCGCAAATCATTACAGTTGCTGGCCAACATCGTCCCATCGCCAGCGGCTGAAAACCACCACTTTCCGGTCCCCTTCGGCCATCCCCATTGACAACTTTGACTACCGCCGCCAACACTTTTGACCACTGCCACCGACGCCACCACTGCGCTGATTAATTTAGAAAAATCTCACCTATTTTAAAATAAATTATTTTCATTATGCTTAAAACAAAAAAAAAAAAAAATTAAGTCATATATCTATTTTATTTCAAACCAAACAACTTTAAAATATTCTTAATACAATTCTATCACTTATGCATCATTCATTTTGTTTTAATGCATCTAGAAATTAAAAGTAAAATAGCTTTACTTTTAAAACATATTTATTTAATGTATCTTTTACATGTTTTTCAATTTTTTCTTAAAAATAAATCAATATAATTTTAAGAACACTCATAACAACTTTTAGGCATTTTTAGTACTTTAAAAAGAGTCATGTCCTAATTATACATGCCAAACCTATTTTACTTTAAAACAAAACATAAATAAAATAAAAATAAAATAATAAAAAATAAAAAATAAAAAATAAAAAAATAAAAGTGATCCCAACCAACCCCAAAAATAACCATATCCTAACTCATCTCACCAAACATAATAAAACATCAAATCAACAAAGCAGACTATTAAAAATTTTAAAAAAATAATAATAAAATAAAAAGGAAAACATTAACCTAAATACTTGCCTTAGATAAAAGAACAATAAATAAATATTAATATATCAACATTAAACAAATTTCAATTACAATATTGGAGTTAACCATAAACTCTAATATCATGCATTTAATAATTTATTTGTTCATGAATGTATATAGGAGTTCATCATAAACCTATTTTACTTTAATATCATGCATTTAATAAATATACATGTTGTTCATGAATGTAAAAAAAAATATATATTTGAGTGAATTTAATTAAAAATGCAAGCACACATTGCAAATATAGGGCCCACTCAAGAAGTGAAATGATACATAAAAAATAAATAATAATAATAATAATAATAATAATGATAATAATAATAATAATAATAATAATAATAATAAATACACAAGGAATTTTATTATGATTTTGATGAAAATTAAATTCAAAACTTTGACAGCATTAAAACTATTATCAATTGAATTAGTCGGCACCCATAACACTGTCATGGACGATAAGAGGAAAATCATCATTCAACAACACTATACACAAGTCAAATTGAATATGATAGGATGCGTCACCTAAAAATTAAGAAGATTTACATACACAGCCCACAATTCTTATGTATTTACATTTCTAACACCTAAACATCAATTTTTACATCATGCCGCAACCTTCCCTACGTACTAAAAGGTGTACTTCACTTTTAAAAGTTAGAATGGTGGTAGCTTTCATGCAAGATGAAAGATTTGGGTGATATAAATGTAAAATTTAATGTTTAGATGTTAGATATGTAAATACAAAAGAATTGTGTGGTATTCCTGTAAATCATGCCAAAAGTCATTTGTTGTTTCAATGAAAAATGAAAAAAGCATTTGTTGGCTCAATATCAATATTATGATATGGTCCAATTCTTTCAATTTGATCCGCACCATGTTTATCATCTTAGAATACTCATCAACTTCATGAACTTTTACTTTTGGGAGGGTGCTTTGATACAAACATCACTAGCACAATGTTTTCGAGCCAACGATTTTATGGTGAGAAACTGTACGCTCAACTATTATATTGCGGGTAAGAGCCAGACATTTCTTCAGTTGAGATTTGACCATTTGCATGCTTTGCTAAAGCTACGGAACCAAATATAATGTGTTTATGTGAAACAAGCTATAGTTTGCAATTGATCCAAGGTGTCAGATCACAATACTTCTAATGCCAGTGTTGATGTGGAGATACAGTTTTAGAAAAATGATAATTGACATACTCCATGTAATCATCTTAAAATTGTGATGAATGTGAAGATTAGGTTTTACATCATCATAATATTCATAAGTGTCACGTGTCAGAAAATTTAGTAAGTGATAATTTAAAATAGATAAGAAAAAAATAGCAAAAGAAGGCAGCGCGACTTTTTACGTAACTCTATAAAAAGAAACAATGAAGAGATCTAGCACAGTTAAAATGTGATCCACTATAAGATTGCAAGTACAAAAGTAGGCTCTTTATCTCAAAACTGAAAAGGATCACAATGATACATCAAACACAATGTTTGTCCATACACAATACACAAAAATATTCGTTGTATTTTGAATGTTATACTGAGTCTTTAATCCACCATATTTAATGTAGTCCGCTGCAGAGTATTAGACATACTTCATCACACAACAAAGTCCACCAACTACGACGAGCATGGGCAGTCGACGATGGTTGACGACTACTGATGAGTGGGTTTGATGGTGGTTAGCAACCACGGAGACCAGAAGTTATCGTCGGGTCTCAGTCCAAAACAACACTGGAAATTAGCTAATTCTCATTCTCTTTCTTCTATTTCTTCTCCCCCACCCCATCTCCCCTCCTGTGAAGAGTGGGGTACAATTTATAGATTCCAAGAGGGGCACTTCATTTATTTGGCAAATAACCAACACAACCATCCAATCGAACGACTCATGCTTATTTCCTTTGATTATTTGAGGGTTTTTTTGATGATATAATGACCTTATTAACCTCAAAATTAAGGGAGCTCAGACTCGTTGGTATCCTCTCGTTGAGACACTCAATTTGACTATAGACATGTCAAAATTGAAGTTTATTTGACCCTTCAATTGACTGCCCAAATCCTTCAAATGTGGTTCAATGATTAGATTCATCTTATCGAGTGGGTGGGTTAGATTGTAAGTTTGCTCGAATAGGAGCTCTGGATGATTTTTTTTCATTGAAACAGAATGAAATTTGCTCAGAAAATGCCTGGAAACCTGTGCCAAATGTCTTGAGATTTGTGTCAGATAATAAAATTTGTTGATGACGCTCAATAAGATTTAGAATCATCATTAAATCCATAAAGGAATTTATTGTGTAATCACATCACGTATAACTTGCAAGCAATAATTTATCAAAAAACATCTCTAGGCAAGTTTAAATCATTTCCCTGAAAAACTGTGTAAATTCTTGGGACAGAATCTTGATGAAATATATTATCAAAAGAGTAACGGTGATTCCATGACTAATCTTTAGAATTTTGTGGCTCCGCCGACGATTAATAGCGCACTTCATTTATTTTCACTAAATAAGATCTACATCAACAATTCATTATCATTCAACTCTGCTGAATTGATGCCATTATATCGACTAATAAAATCTACAGAGCCTGCAACCAAAACTTAAATAAGGGTCTGTCTGGGAACAGATGCCCGCATCCGGAAAGCTGCCACTAATCCATGTGGTTATATCTTTCTTACTGTTTTTTAGAAATTATTCTGACAAACTAATTTTTTCAGCAGAACTCTTAGGACTGAGTAGGGAATGTTTTTTCATAATAATTTTATGGGGCATTTACATACATAACACCAAATTCTTAGGTATTTACATGTCAACACCTAAACTTTAATTTTTAGACATAAGAACTGAGTGATATGCATGTAAATCTTTCAAGAAAATACAATATTCTTATTACATATGATAAAATAATTAGAACAAGTTGAAATTAAATTTGTATATGCCACTTGACAGCCATTATTATCCTGCATCAAACAAAGCTATAAGGCCAGCGGTTTCAGCAGTCAGGAAAGATTCAGCTATGCAGCAAAATGGTTCAAATATTATAGATGTTAATTTTGGGAACAAATTGCTGGAAGAAACCACATTCATGAGGTTTAAGGAAGTTCAGGATCATGTTAATTGGTTTTTTCCTTATGAACTAGTAAAAACATGCTAACTTGGAGCAATTATAGAACAAAAAACATTCCTGAAGTGGAACAAAGATGATTTGAGCTAATGACCCTTCCTAACATATGTAGAACTACAAATAAAATTAGCGCAGAATACCCGAAAGAAGCCATTTTTCAGACAAGGGAAGTATTCAAATTCCTTTCTCAATCGCATTTCCTTGACCTGCCAATGGAAAACACAAAATTAATAATTTAGGACACTGAATTTTTTTCTACAGGTATTCAATAATGGATTTTCTAATTAGCTTTAAGAGAATGAGCATTTTCTAACGTTCTAAAACTTCCATACAATTTCAAAATTAAATTAAATTGCGTAAATTTTAAGATGCATAAAGTTAGAGGACTCAGGTCTAAAAGATGCATATTTAGATTGAAAGTTATGGGAAATGGGAGGTATAAAAGTAGCCTGACTTTCAAATCTTTTTAGTAGAATCTTGAAGCCCAAGAGGGCCCCAAATGATTCAAGAAAAAATATTTTCGCATTAGAATTTACAAATAATTGAGATAATCAAGATTGATTACGATAATAGATTTGAATATATAAGTTATTAAATTAAGCAATGGAACAACGAAACTCGGGCTGAAAGAAAATAAAAAAACAAATTAAATTTTATTCTAGGAAAATCCTTCAAGAAAGTCGTTTTTGTGCGTAGGATAAAAAAAAATAAAAATGTCTAGAGAACAAAAGAAAATTCAAATGTTTTTAATTGATAATGAAACAGGCATGTGATTCCCAATTGGTGGGATAAAGGCTTATTGTCGTCATTGTTGTTGTTTCAAATATATATATATATATATATATATATATATATAACCCTAAAAAATTATCAAAAGTATTCTAAAATTATTAAAGGTATGGATAATAATCATTGCTAGCAGTAGCGACAGTTGTGGAGAGATCAAATATTTTTTAATGATAAGAAATTATATCAAAGATTGACAAGAATTCTATATCTTTATGCAGTAGACATGGAGAAGGTTAAAACAGATGTTCACAATGAAAGTTTCTTGATATATACAACAATTGTAGATGACATGATTTTAAACGTGAGAATCACCACCCAAAAAAAAATGTTAAAATAACGGAGAAAATATTTACAATGGTCTCAGGATAAACAGGGTAAAATTTGGGTGCACAACAACAACAAGAAGCATTTATCCCACTAAGTGGGGCCACATACAAAATTTTTTTTTTCTCCATTGCATCCTATTAAGTGTCATTTTCATTTAATTCTAATGAATGAAGATCATTTTTATACAATATGCCCAAGTGTTTTTAGGTCTACCTCTGCCTTCGAATCTAAAACATCTACACTCCTAACTGGATTATCAGATAGTAGATGTTTAATGTGACTAATCCATCTAAGATGAATCTCTCTAATCTTGTCCGCCACTAGAGCTACACCAACCCTATCAAGAATATATTCATTTCGCATTTTGTTTCCAAGTGTCAAGTCACTCATCCACCTAAGCATTCTCATCTTAGCAACACTTAACTTTATTTTATGCTTCTCTTTTAAAGGCCAACATTCTAGCCATAAAGCACACAGGTCTCACCAACATTTTATAAAATTTTCCTTTCAGTCTAAGTGGTACATTTCTAGCACACAATAGGCCCGATGCATTCCTCCACTTCAACCAACCAACTTGAAATCTATTAATAACATCCCCATCTATATCACCCTCACTTGAAATCAATTAATAGATCCGATATATCTAAAATGTTCACAGCTTTTAATGATATAATCACCCATAGTTATAACTCTGTCATTAGAGCTACAACTACTAAAATTATATTCTATGTACTCGATTTAAGTTCTACTCAAATGAAGGCTTTCAAACTCCAATGTAGACCATAATTCAAGTTTTTCGAGAACAAATTCTCTAATCTTATCCACAAGAAGGATATCATCAGCGAAAAACATACACCAAGGTACATCCTTCTGTAAATGTCTAGTAAGAGCATTCATAACTAAAGCAAAAGATATAGGCATAAAGCCGATCCCTGATGTAATCCAACTAAAAGAAGAAAATACTTGGTCAATCCTCCTTCCGTTCAAACACAAGTAACAACTCTAGTATACATATCTTTAAAGACTTAAATAAAAATCATATCAACACCTTTATTCTCTAAAACTCCCCAAAAGACTTCTCTTGAAACCTTATCGTAAATTTTTTCTAAATAAAAAAAAAAACCTTATCTGTACTTCTCCATCAAGCTTCTCAATAAATGTATAGGTTCTATAGTAGACCAGCAAGACATAAATCCAAACTGATTATTGGAAATCTTTATACAACATAAATCTAAACTGATTATGAGAGATCTTTGTAACACGTCTTAACCTATGTTCAATTACCTTCTCTCATAATTTTGAAGTATGCACATCAACTTAATTCCTTTATAATTTGCACATTCTTGTACATCCCTTTTATTCTTAAAAATGAGGACAAAAATACTCTTCCTCCACTCCACAGGCATATTTTTAGTTTGTAAAATAATATTAAGAGTTTAGTAGGACAATAAACTCCCAAATCTCCTAAATATTTCCACACTTCAAATGGGGTACCATCATGTCTTGATTTTCCACCCTTGATTCTCTTTAAAGCCTTATTAACTTCTTTTCTACTATTGCGACTATGAAAAAAAAACATTTTATTATTATTAACGATATTAAGATCACTAAGATCGTCATATTTTTAAAAACTTCATTAAGAAGTTTATCTAAATAGCTCACTCACCTATGTTGAATATATTCTTTTAAGAAAAGCATTTTTTGATTTTCAAATTTGATACACTTTACTTAAACTAAATCTTTACTATTATTTTCTCATTGTTTGGCTAATTTATATATATAGTTTCACCCACTTTAGCATCTAATTTAATATAAAGATCACTAAAAGCAGAAATTTTAGCATTATAAATTATTCTTTTAGACTCTCTGCAGGTCACTTTATATTTTTTTCAGTTTTTTAAACTTTTATATTTAAACAAATTTTTATAACGCAACTTCTTATATTTTATATTTTCTTACATAATACTATTCCACCACCAACAATTTTTACTTATAGAAACTTTTCCTTTTAATTCTCCAAGTACAACTTTTGTCACGTGTTTAATAGTGTCTGTTACTGTATCTCACATAGAATTTGCTTCTTCATGAACATCCGAAATCTTGAAATCGTGAAGTTCACTTATAAAAATAATTTTATTTATGTTTTTTAGGTGCTCTCATTTAATTCCATGACAATGATTTTTAGTATTATTTATCTTACAACTGTTTATCTTAAAATCCAGAACTAATAGTCGATTTTGAGTACTTAAATTCTCACTTGAAATAAACTTACAATTTTTACTTTCTCGATGATCTCTTATTCGCATATAAAAATAATCAACTTGAGTTTAATTAGATCCATTCTTATAAGTAATAATATGCTTATCTCTTTTCTTAAAGAAAGTATTATCAACAACAAAATCATACACTAAAATAAAATCTAATATGACTATAACTTCTTCATTAATCACTCCAGAATCGTCGTCACCTTGAATATTTCTAAAATCTTCTACAACTCTACCAACATATCTATTTAAATCTCCTCCAATTAAAATTCTTTTTTAAGAGATATCATTTGTATTAATTCATCTAGGTCATTCTATAATTTTTCTTAGAATCTATATCTAAATTTACTTGAGGAGCATGAAAACTTATAACATTAAAAAACTTAGTATCAACAACAATTTTAAGGGCTATAATTCTATCTCAAATACTATTAATATTTATAATATTATCTTTCAAACTCTTATCTATAATTACAACTATACAATTTCTAGTGTGTCATACCTGAATATTAAAGTTTAAAACCTAAGCTATTAATCTCCTTAATTTTTTTTTCAACTCATTTAGTTTCTTGAATACATAAGAAATTTATCTTCCTATGAACCGCAATATCAACTAATTCCATTAACTTGCTTTTTTAACAGCATCCGTCCGTAATGTAAGAACCCTTGCTTATTTGACACTACACCCATACGCCGATGTAAATGTGCTTGCACACATCTCACTGTATTAAGGTCATACAATACGTCGCTTTCAGGGAACAACCTAGCATTTACACAAGGATCTAAATGATTCATTTCATGATTTTCGACAAATTTTATGTTGGCTATCGGCTACCTAACACAACCCTTTACTTTTCACATTCGGGGCATGGGACTTAGCGATGAGAGTGTTTGGTAATGCAAAATTGATAGCACATCATTAGTATTACAAGAACATACGAGTCCTACGTTTAAGTAGATTTGATGTCCTAGGACATTTACATACATACCACATAATTCTTATTAATTTACATATCTAACACCTAAACTTTAATTATTACATGTATATACCACCCAAATCTTTCAAATCACATAAAAACTGCACCCATTTTAACTTTTAAAAAGTGATATCCACCTTTTTAATGTATGGGGAAGTGTCATGTATATAAAATTTAAAGTTTAGGTGTTAGATATGTAAATATAAAAGAATTGAGTGGCATGTATGTAAATCATCCTGTAATAAATAGTAATAAATAGAAACGTTAAAATAAATATTGCCTCTAGAGTATTCTGCAATAAGATATAACAATAGAGACATAGTGTTTTATAAAATTATAACTAAGTTTATTAATGCAAGATCGCTTTAAAAATTTAAAAATATATTATAAGCAGTCAAAAGCTGAAAATATTAAAAAAAAAAAAAATCTTTAACAAAGCTTATGCTTGAGCAAAGAGATTCTCTCTCCCAGAAGAGTTTTAGAACTTATATGATCAAATAATCAAAATTCCATAATAAATGAAGAAAAAACTCCGAGTTTAGCAATATGAATTTTATTCATTCCATAAATTATCTTTCATGAATCAAAATTAGCACATTTATGAATGCAGAAAATTCTAATAATAAATTGCTCATGAATTTCTAATAAATTATAAATAAACTTAATCACATTGACAAGAACAACCCTAATAAAATAATTAGGTCTAAAAGGCAAAATAATTCAAATAAACATGATAAAGCAAAAATTCAACATTTATATTGGCATTAAAACCCTAGACTATAAAACACTACATTATAGAAGGTTTTATTGATGACACACTTTTGAAGTAAATATTGCCAAAATAAAGTT